AGTTGGAGGTTGCTGTGAGCTGTAATGCCACGGCACTCTGCCCAGGGGGACAGCTTGAGGCTCTGTCTCAAAAAAAAAAAAAAAAAAAGAAATAGGCAAAACAACCCCCAGCTGGGATGATAGGTGATAACCCAGGTGGGCTGAAAGCTGGTGCAGAGGGGACGCTAACAATTTGGGAAGACCTACTGGAGTGGTGGCACCTGAGTTGCAATGGAGAGTGGAGACTGAGGGCATAACAGAGGCAAAAGCTCAGGGACTTGGCTTGGTGCCCTTAGCACAGTGGTTATGGGGCAGCCACATGCACTGAGGCTGGCAGGTTTGAACCCAGCCTGGGGCCAGCTAAACAACCATGACAACTGCGACAAAAAAATAGCCAAGCATTGTGGCAGATGCCTATAGTCCCAGCTACTTGGGAGGCTGAGGTGGGAGAATCACTTAAGCCCAAAAGTTTGAGGTTGAGTCTCACTCTTCCTGTGAGATGTGACGCCATGGCACTCTAACAATGGTGACATAGTGAGACTCTGTCTCAAAAAAAAAAAAAGCTCAGGGGCTTGAACCAGAGGGGTAAATGGTCAGCCATAGGCAGAACCAGGGAAAGAACCCAGGTTCAGGCTCTAGGCTCAGCCTCCATCCTCCTGCCCTGGCAGCTTAGCACTGTCTGCTTGTTCCACAATAGGCCCTCAAAGACCTCAAGACAATGGGCTGCAAAAAGGCAATGAAGAAATTTGAAAGGCACACACTCCTGGTGAGTGGGGGCCTCAGCTTTGCTGTCTGAGAAATGGGGGCAAAAGGGTGCACATGGGGCCTTCCCCCCAAGAGTCAGAGAGCCGGAAGCCTGGACCACAGTCCTGCCACCTCCTCCCTGCCTGACCCAAAGGCTGGACATGCCCCTTCTCTGGACCTCAGTTTCCCTCATCTGTCACAAGAGAGAGACCGGATTGCTTCGGTCCAGGGAGGTGCCTTGAAACTGGGAGGCCCAGCAGGGGAAGGTTCCTCATGAGAATGAGAACGGAGCAGGCAGGTGCAGCCTGCCTGGGCCCTGACTTTGGCCTGCGCCTACCCTGCAGGAATACCTCCTTGGGGAGGGGAACCTGAGCCAGCCGGCCGTGCAGCTTCTAGGAGATGTGATGTCCAAGGATGGTTTCTTCTATCTCAGCTTCGCGGAGGCCCTTAGGGCCCACAGCTGCCTGAGCGACCGGCTCCAGTGAGGGGCGGGGCATGGCGGGGCGGAGTGGGCGGGCAAGTAATGGGGAGTAGATGGGGCCATGGGGGATTGGGCGGGTCGAGCAGGCGGGAAGGGCGTGGCCTGAGCGGTGAGGAAAGTGGCTAAGGGGTTGGAGAAACGTTCTACCCACGCTCGCTCAGGTATCCCAGTCCTCCGGAACTGGTAAGAATGGTTCCGGAGAAGGGCGTGGTCCAGGGGAAAAGCGGCAGGGTTCTGGGGTCACACAGAACTCGGGAATAGCAGGAACGGGCGGGGGCTGGGAGAGGCAGATAGTGGGCTGGGTTAGCGGGGAGCAGGTAGGTGCCGCCAGGGTCAAGTAGTGAGCGCTGGTCGGGGCCGGAGAGCCCGGGTCACGCTTTCCACTTGCCTGCAGGTACAGTCGCATCGTGGGCGGCTGGGACCTGCTGCCGCGAGCTCTACTGAGCTCGTTGTCGGGACCAGTGCTGCTGAACGCGCCGGTCGTGGCGATCACGCAGGGGTTGCGCAATGTGCACGTGCAGATTGCGACCGCTCGCCGGGCACGGAGTCTGAAGGCTCTGACCGCAGACGTGGTGCTGCTAACAGCGAGTGGGCCGGCGGTGCAGCGCATAAACTTCTCACCACCGCTGTCGCGTCGACTGCAGCAGGCGCTGCGTGCGCTGCACTACGTGCCGGCCACCAAGGTATTCCTGAGCTTCCGTCGGCCCTTCTGGCACGACGAGGACATCGAAGGCGGCCACTCGAACACAGACCGCCCATCGCGCGTGATATTCTATCCGCCGCCGCACGAGGGTGCGCTGCTTCTGGCCTCGTACACGTGGTCGGACGCGGCAGCCACGTTTGCAGGTCTGACCTTGGACGAGGCGCTGCGCTTGGCGCTCGACGACTTGGCGGCTCTGCATGGGCCGCTCGTGTACCGGTTATGGGATGGCAGCGGCGTCATCAAACGCTGGGCAGAGGACCCGCACAGCCAGGGTGGCTTCGTGGTGCAGCCACCAGTGCTCTGGCAAAACGAGAAGGACGACTGGCAGGACTACAATTGGGCGGTCCCTTACGGCCGCATCTACTTCGCGGGCGAGCACACGGCCCTCCCCCACGGCTGGATGGAGACGGCTGTCAAGTCGGCCTTGCGGGCCGCCATTAAGATCAACAGCGGGGAGGGTCATGTGTCCGTGACCCCCAGCCCAAAGCGGCCCAGCCATGCACGCGCGCACTCAATGGCCAGTAGCGCCCCGTGTGACCTGGCGGCAAAGGGAGATTCCACCCAACTTCCAATCCTACACCAGTTATCTCTCCCGAACACCACCCACAAAAGAACCTCGGATTAAAATATTTTCGGAAAAAGCTGTGTGGTCCAGCCTCCTCCATGGCAGTTTCCCAGTTTGCTCTGAACCAAAGCGTTTAGCCCTCTAGTCAGAAAGGCCTCGGCTCTGCTGGAGCCCAGAGCTAGCTGCCCCTTCCATCATCCTGGACAATGGTGCTCCCTGGGGGGCAAGGGGAGGGACAGGATGGACACACTGTCTTGCACCATTGGGAAGGAGTCACAGTGACCATCCCAACTGACCCAAGGCTGAGGCGCAGATCTGTCCTGATGCAAGTAATGGAAAATCCAATGAACAGTGGGTTAAACATAAGTTTATTTTTCTAAACAGAAGCAGCTGGTAGGCAAGGTCACCAGAGTGTGTGTCAGTTATGTCTGGGAAGTGTCCCAGCACAGCTACTAGGTGGCAGCCCCAGCCCTGAGTCACTCCTCCCAAATCCCAAAACAAGCAGGTGAAGAGGCCCTACCTTCCACCAAACCCCATCACTCACCCTCAAGGGGTCTCTCCTGTGTTTCACTGGCCAAGAGGTCATGCTTCTGCTCTGCAGAGCCACAAAAGGGACTTCAGAGCCACTACCCCTTCCCCATCCAGGTCAAAGCCAAAGTGCAGCCTCCTTCCCTCAACAACAGGGCTGACTGGCTGTGAGAAGGGCGTTTAATGAATGAAGTCAGCTTATCAGGAGCACACCCCCTCATCCTGCCTCCGCCCTGTCCCTGGTGAGAAAAAGTGCCAGTGCTCTCGCTGACTGGGTTAGGGGTCTGCGCCATCCTCATCTTCTGGCAGGATCTCCAGGCTGCTGTCGGGCTGCGGGGCTGTATCCGTGGGCGGCGGAGGGGCTGGCGGGGCTCGGGTGGGTGACAGGGGAAGAGGGGAGGCAGGTGGTGAAGGGCTGCGGGGCTCTGTAGGCGGTGCCAGACCCAGCACCTCCTGCACATTGTGAGGCAGCTCCTGCAGGGGGAGTGGGGGTGGCAGGTGAGCAAGTGAGCAGGTGAGAAGCTGTTGGCCAAGGGCTGCGGGGAGGGGCGGCTACTCACGGGGCAGGCAGTGAGCTGCAGGTAGAGCGCCTCAGCCCGTGTCAGCACGTCCTCCACACTGAGCTTCATGGTCAATTCATTGATGTGCTATGGGAGTGGATGGGTCAGGCGCCAGGCATCACACCCTACACCAGGCGCCCACTCTGCCTCTGGCGACACAATCGAGATCAGGCAGACAAGGCTGGCCCTCTAGGGGCTCAGAAGCAGCTGGGCCATCAGGGGTTACTCTCCGCAGGCCTTCAAGAAGCACTCACTGATTGCTGGAGCTGGGACATAGCAAAGAGAAAGACCCCAGCCCTACCACTGGGTAGTGTTCTAGGGCAGGAGCAGGTCCCCTGCTCTGTGACGATACTGCTGGGAGTGGGCATAAGAAAAACTGACCCTGACTCGGCGCCTATAGCTCAACCAGCTAAGGCGCCAGCCACGTACACCTAAGGTGGCGAGTTCGAATCCCCAGCCCGGACCCGCCAAACAACAATGACGGCTGCAACCAAAAAATAGCCGGGCGTTGTGGCGGGCACCTGTGGTCCCAGCTACTTGGGAGGTGGAGGCAAGAGACTCGCTTGAGCCCAGGAGTTGGGGGTTGCTGTGAGCTGTAATGCCACGGCACTCTGCCCAGGGGGACAGCTTGAGGCTCTGTCTCAAAAAAAAAAAAAAAAAAAGAAAAACTGACCCTGACCCAGGCCCAGCCTGTGGTGCTCCTATCAGTAATCCCATTCCAATGGCCAGGCTCAGTGGCTCATGCCTGTAATCCCAGCACTTTGGGAGGCCAAGATGGGCAGACAGCCTGAGCTTACAAGTTCAAGACCAGCCTGAGCTAGAGCCAGACCTCATCTCTAAAAAAAAATGGAGCATTGTAGTGGGTGCCTGTAGTCCTAGCTACTTGGGAGGCTGAGGCAAAAGAATCACTTAAACCCAAGAATTAGAGGTTGCTGTAAGCTACAACACCAGGGCACTGTAATGGGGGCAACAAAGTGATACTCTGTCTCAAAAAATAATAATAATCCCATTCCAAGGACCTACTCCTGAAATTGTGGCTCCATGCCCCAGGTCAGGGGGTGCTGAGAGGGAGCCAGCCCTTACCTTGAGGATCTCATTGGAGCCAAAGCCAGACAACATGAGGGTATCCCGCTCCATGTCCAGGATGGCACAGGCCACCAGCAGGTGCAGATTGGGGCCCGGGAGCCCTGTCCACAGCACCTGGGGGTGCCAGAGGGAGGGAGGGGTCGTGGCTCTACCTAAGGTCTTCCCAAGTCTGCTGTACCTTCTGCCCACCTGCCCCCAACCTCCAAGGCCCTCCTATGGGCAGGAGAGCCCACTTCTTCCTCTTCTGGCCTCCCACCCAGCCCGGCTGGCCCACCTCCCACAGCCGAAGGACATCCGGGAAGGGAAATTCCCTCTTGAACCAGATGAGCAGCCACCGGAAGCAGAAGCAGAGAGAGCCTGAGTCCTGGGAGTCTGGGGGAGGACAGGGAACCAATTCTCAGCCTTACCCACAGCTGGTGTGCCACAAAAAGCAAGCTCAAAACCAACCCGAATCCCATTCCAGCTTACAGCATGCCTGGAATCAGGACTGAGAGGCTAAGTGATTCTCAGCCTCACCCACAGCTGGTGTGCCACAAAAAGCAAGCTCAAAACTAACTTGGATCCCATTCCAGCTTACAGCATGCCTGGCTCCTGTGGCTCAAGTGGCTAAGGCGCCAGCCACATACACCTAAGGTGGTGGATTCGAATCCAGCCCCGGTCCACCAAACAACAATGACGGCTGCAAACAAAAAATAGCCAGGCGTTGTGGCGGGCGCCTGTGGTCCCAGCTACTTGGGAGGCTGAGGTAGGAGACTCGCTTGAGCCAGGAGTTGGAGGTTGCTGTGAGCTGTGATGCCATAGCACTCTACCCAGGGGGACAGCTTGAGGCTCTGTCTCAAAACAAAAAACAAAAAACAAAAACAAAAAAGACTAAGAGGCTAAGTAATCCCAGTCTGAAGACCATTCCCTCAGACTAGCCAAGTAACTTATGTCCAGCTCAGGGGACTTCAGAGACAAGGAACAATTTGGGGGAATTTCCTATCCTGCTTTCCACATGCCACTGATGTGGAAGGGAGATATGTGAAGACCAATAAACCCAAAGAAAAATGAATCTCAATAGCTGAGCTTGCTAAAGGTTGAGAAAATTGGCAATTGCAGATACACTATTAGGAAAAACATAAGCTGGTCTGATGATTATTTGGAAAGCAGTGATGGAGAATAGTTCAAAAGCTGTGAAAATACATACTACTCTGGACACAATTCCACTTCTTGAAATTTAACCTGAAGAGGCTGGATGACGTGGCTCACACCTGTAATCCTAGCACTATGGGAGGCTGAGGCGGGTGGACTGCCTAAGCTCACAGGTTCGAGACCTGCCTGAGCCAGAGCCAAACCTCATCTCTAAAAATAGCCGGGCAATGTGGCAGGTGCCTGTAGTCCCAGATACTTGGGAAGCTGAGGCAAGAGAATCACTTGAGCCCAAGAGTTTGAGGTTGCTGTGAGCTATGACACCACAGAACTCTACCAAGGACAACAAAGTGAGATTCTGTCTCAAAAAAAAAAAAAAGAAAGAAAGGACCCAACTGTCCAGGTCAGTTAAATCAATTGTAGCATGCTCAGGTGGACAGGATTCCATGCAGTCAACAGAAGTGATATTTCAGGAGACTAAACGATACAGGGAGGCAATTTATGTATGTGTGCCCCAGGAAGGCATGTGTGCTTTCCTAAATCTTAGTTTCCTCTTCAGTGAGATGAGGCCCAGAATATCTCAGCTCTCTCCCTTGGGGAGGGGGGGTCCTAAAGCTTCAGTGAGGGAAGGTCCGTAAATAAGTTAACATTATCATCAACACATAGCTCACAGCAACCTCCAACTCCTGGGCTCAAGTAATCAGCCTGCCTCAGCCTCCCTAGCAGTTTGGACTACAGGTGCCCACCATAATACCCGGCTAATTTTTTTATTTTTTGTAGAGTCCAGGTCTCAATATTGTGCTCAGGCTTGTTTAGAACTCCTGGCCTCAAGCCATCTTCCCACCTCATCTTCCCAAAGTCTAGGATTTCAGGCATGAGCCACTTGTGCCCAGCCCAGAGAACCAGTTTTTGGGTTTTTTTTTGTTTTTTTTTTTTTGTTTGTTTGTTTTGAGACAGAGCCTCAAGCTGTCCCCCTGGGTTGAGTGCCGTGGCATTACAGCTCACAGCAACCTCCAACTCCTGGGCTCAAGCGAGTCTCTTGCCTCCGCCTCCCAAGTAGCTGGGACCACAGGCGCCCGCCACAACGCCCGGCTATTTTTTGGTTGCAGCCGTCATTGTTGTTTGGCGGGTCCGGGCTGGGGATTCGAACCCGCCACCTTAGGTGTACATGGCCGGCGCCTTAGCCGGTTGAGCTATAGGCGCCGAGCCGAGAACCAGTTTTTGAGTCTCAGCTTGAGGTGAGAAGCAGCTAGAGGGGGATAAAAAGTGGTAGGCACTACACCCTGGGTCCTTAATTCTGAAAATTATCCAGTAAACAGATAAAGAAAAGGTAAAGCCAAAATGGGATCAAGATGAGTGTGGGGTGGCACACAGGGCAAGTGTGAATGCCCGGACATCTGCATTTGCTGAGATTTTGCTCCCAACTGCAAATCTACATGTAAGTATTCTGGGTTACATACAGGTGTTTGTCTTGTTTAGATCAGAACCAAATGTTCAGAATGTCATTAGTGGCTGCTACTAGAGTATCTCTGGATCTGTAACCCCACTGTCTCCTATTCATCCATGCAAGATACATACATACCCAGAAAGTCGCATAGTGGGGGATCCAGCACCCTCAAGAGAAGCAGAAGTTGCCCAAGTTGCCGCTTCATGGTCTCTTGACTCTCTTCAAAGTTCCCTTGCTGCAGGAGGGGAGGAAGAAGGGAGGGAAGGCCTTGTGAGGAGCAGAGACCCCTCATCCTTTGAGAGGCCTGTCTCCCACCACAACCTGAGCCTCACCACAACCTCCATGAAGCCACAGAAACACCAGAAGGCATCCACCTCATTCTGAATGACGTAAAGGATCGGGGAGAGAAGGTCACTCATGCCCTGGACGTAGCCTGAGAGAACACAGGGTCAACGTCCAGCTTCAGCCCTTTTTACCCCCCAAGGGAAGACCTTCCTGCAGGCCTAGTGCCCTACCGAGGTCGAAGTGGTACATGCAGTATGTAAGCAGGATGTCATTCAGCAGGCCCAGCCCTGGGTTCTCAGGACCCTCATAGAACTTGTTGGTCCTGTCAGTGCGGCTCACATCTCTCTCTGTGGGGATGGGGTACAGGTGCAAAGGTGAGCAAGGTGAGGTGGCCTGTCCTTGCTGGCCATCAGGACCAGCCCCCAAATTTAGGACTCACTATGAGGAAGGAGAGGAGCCAGTTCTAGAAACCATCTCTAACACTCCTGCCATGAGGAACCAGCCTCACACTTGGCTCAACATATCCTCCCACCGGTGGGGAAAATAAAAGCCAGGGAGATAATAAAATCTCCTGCCAAGATCTCATGGTGAGTAAATAACAGAGCTGAAACTTGACTCTAAGGTGGCCTGAGTCCCCTTCCCACCGTCCCTCCCTGGGCTTTGCCTCCCACTGGCCATTTCCATCATTGCTCACCCCACTTCCCTCCCAGGACCTGTGTCTGCTTGTGGAGATGTAGAGGCTTCTTCCATCTCTCCCTTGCACTCACGCCTGTGCCCTCCTTGTGGTTTCCTACTCCCAACCCACCCAGCATGCCATCCCTACACCTACCGATGAGGCTGCGGTATCCGTGCAGAAGTGAGTTCCTCCGCTCCTGCTCAGGGCTCACAGATTTCCACTGCAGCTTCATACGGAAATACTCATCACTGAGGGTGAGAGAGGCGAGATGTGCAGCTCAGATCCCTGGTCACTCTCTGACCACAGAGACTCAAGCAAGCCTCCCAGTCAAACCTGCCACCACCCTTCATACTTCCCTCCCCTGAGATCACTGTGGAGACATCCTTGGGGGCCTTAGTGAAAGGCTGCCACCACCTTCCTCTTTCCTGACAGAGCACCAAGGACAGGGAGCAGCCAGGCACTGCTGCATCCTCAGTGCCTGGCAGGGATAATACACCCCAGGAGTAACAAGAGATGGGCCCTACTGGGCTATAGAACATGCTGCAAAGCTGTGACCATCAGAATAGTATGGTGCAGGAATGAAAACAGCAATGGAGGCAGGAGACGTCCATGCAGGGATAAGCACGGGTCTGGCTTGTTCACTGCCATCTCCCTTGGGCACAGGACAATGCCCCCAGCATGTGGCAGGCTCGAGACCAATGTTCATACAACAAACCCAACTGCTACCCATCTGTGCACCTAGGAAGTGCCAGGTGTTATATCCAGCAAGGCCTGGCTCCTGAGAACAACAGGGACCACAGCTTCTCACTCACGTTTTCCTGCGCACGTGGGCCTTGTGCTCCTCAGTTGAGCCCTCCCAGCTGAGGTACCCCAGGAGGAATTTCCATGCCTCGCGCCGCAGTCCTGGGTTCAGACCCTGTGGGAACAATGGGGCAAGCAGCTCAGCAGAGCCCCCTCCCAGCCCCACCAGTCCTCACACACACCCTGGCGCTCACCCTGCGCTCACCCCCGAGAAGATCCGGCTCTTCAGCTCTGAGACATGCTGAAGGCGGCCCTCAGGGCCCACATGGCGAGCCCACTCTTCCTCAGTGACAGGAGGAGCCCGCTCCACAGCCGGCCGAGGTCCCAGCTCCACCTTTGGAATACCAGGTAAGTGAGCCCAGGGCCTTGGTTGGGCTCATCCACAGCCAACTGAGCTCAGAGCCCTGCTTAGCTAGATGCACAGTTAACATGCAGGAGCAAGAAACAGCTCCTTCTCTGGGTCAGCAACAAAGGTGTCCCCCAGTCAGGAAGAGCCCTCCAGAAATAAGAGCTAGAAGGTGCTCACCAAGCCTAGCACAGCTGTGTGTACGTTCTGTGAAATCATTCCTGCCACTCACTGAGGTGGTGCCATTACTATCCCCATTTTACCAAGGAGAAAACTGACATTAAAGGGAAATGAAGTCATGGACCTAAGATGACACAGCCAGAGAGAAACAGAGAGGGTCCCCTCCATACTCACACAGGAAATGACCTCGAACCCTGGCTCTGGCTCATCATCGGGTGGTGGGGGAAGGTCAGGAGAGGCCCCCTCAGGGTGTGGCTGCAGGGCTCCCCGGAAGAAGTTGGTCACTCGGGAGAAGCTGCTAAAGGTGGTAGCATAGGGGTCCTGGAGGAAGCGCTGGGGACAAAGCCAGAGATGGTCACGGCCCACCCTTTCTTGTCCCTCCCTATCCACACCCTGCCAGGCTGGACCCCAGCGACACTCACAGACACCACATTGGAGCTGTCCTGGTCAAAGAGCTGCAGGTGGTGGAAGGAGTTGGAGAGGGCGGAGGAGTCGTGAGGGAAGACAAGGTAGAGGCGGGAGTCCTGTGGGGAGCTGGGAGGCGGGAGATGATGCACAGGTAGGGCCCAGGGGCCCCAGCTGGCCATGCCCACCCTATGTTTGTTCCAGCTGCAGCATCCCAACACACCTGGGGAATCCCTCATCTTAGGGCTGTTAGGTCTAGAGCTGGACTCTGGTGGGTGGGCACATGGCTCAGGACATGAGGACCTTTCACTTATCTGGCCAAGATGACTGACTCAAAGATAAGCCAATTAGAAGCAGCTCTGTGATCTTGCTGGAATGCAGGAGGACAATTTCTATCTACCAGGATTGCTAAGCCAGGACTACTAGGGGTCCCAGACAATGACAGAAAATCAGAGGAAAATCAAGCAACTGTATCCAACATTTTGGGACCTACGTCCTGCCTGAAATCAATACTGTCCATTGGTTTATCTGTCGTATGTGCCAGTCAACTCCTTTTTCCTTCCTTTAAATCAGTTCTTATGTTTTTCTTCAGTGCCTTCAGGACTCAGGCTGTCACTGTGGAGGGACAGGGCATGGTGAAAGGCCCAGCATGGGGAGAAGACTCACCTGGCCAACAGCAGGTAGCGGCTGAGGACACGGAGCAGGGCACGGGTGCCCCCACGGTGGAAGTGCAGGGCAGGCAGGGAGCCCCCAGCCTGGGTCACCAGAACCAAGTAGGCCCAGCTGAGGCCAGGCTTGGAACGGCGGATGGACTTGAGCTCCCCCAGACTCACGGAAAAGGCCCAGGAACCCTGGGGGGAGCTGGGCTCTGCACCTAGAGGGATGGTGCCTTGTTGGGAGAGGTGTGGGAGCTAGAGACAGCCACGTCGACTCAGGATGTTCCTTTAGCAAAGTCATCTCCTGAGGACCCCACCATGAGCCACCCCTAGGCCCTGACCTCTGAGAACTCTAGGTCACCTCACGTTTCCTTGAAAATGAAAATGAGTAAAATGGGAGGGGAGCTGGTGGACATGTGCTTGTACGCCTATTCCAAAAACTTCCCAGGCCCCCCATGACCTGCAGAGTAAAGACTATATTCCTCATCCTGGCCACTTAAAGCTCCTCTAGGCTGTCCCTGGCTCCTGGCCTGTCTCACCTTTGAGCCCCTCTTTATTCCAACCATACAGTTGAACTATAGCGCAAGGCTGATGGCTCCCTAAGCATGCCCACTGCCACCTGCCTCTGGCTTGCATGGGCTGCTCTCTCTGCCTGGGGAGAAAACTCTCAAGTTTCCCTCAGAGTCCAGCTCTGGCATCATCTCTTCCTGGAAGGCATTTGCACTTCCCAGAAGGATAACGTGGCCACTCTGGATGTCCCCAGGACCCTGTGTGATGTCAGGAAAGTGAGAGTCAAACCAAAAGAGGCAGGACTCATGTGGGGGTGCCCACAGCCAATCTGGGCATCCAGTGGAATGAGCAAGACTATGACCCACAGAGATGCTGGCCATGTTGCATCTGGGCTGACAGAGTCTTGAACCCCCTATTCATTTCTCTCCTGGGACTGGAAGATGAAAGGCAGCCATCCTTTTTTGTTGTTGTTGTTGCGACCATCTTACTACGTCACCCTGGGTAGAGTGCCATGGCATCACAGCTCATAGCAACCTCAAACTCTCGGACTTAAGTGATTTTCTTGCCTCCCAAGTAGCTGGGACTACAGGCACCCATCACAACACCTGGCTATTTTTTTGTTGTAGTTGTCATTGTTGTTTGGCAGACCTGGGCCAGGTTTGAACCCTCCAGCCTCAGTGTATGTGGCCAGCACCCTAGCCACTGATCTATGGGCACTGAGCCAGCAGCCATCTTGACTGTGGGCAGCAAAACCCTTTGGGTCATGACCACTGCAGGCAAGATGTGTCCCTCTCTGTCCACCTGTACCCTCCAGGGACACCAGCTCAGCCTACCTCTTGTGGGCTCTAAGTGACAGGACTGTGGCCGCACAGTGCTGATGACAGCCCAGTCAGGTTCATAGCCAGGGTCAAAGGTTGGCTCCTCCTCAGAAGTACAGGAGTCTCCCCCGCTGGAGTCCTTGCAGGAAAATAGGAGAAGAAAGCAAGGGGCTATAGATTCAGAGTTTTCAAATCTGAGCCTCAGAGCCAACTTGGAAGGCAGTCCCATTAAACAGAGAGGGAAAATGAGGCACAAAGAAGGTATAGCACTTTCTCAGGGTTACCCAGCACAGCCAAGAAGTGAGCCAGGGCTTGACTCCAAGTCTCCTAGCACGTGGGGAGATAAACACTACATGGCAGGTGGCTGTGCAGTGAGACTGCCACTGCTTATAGGCACTGCTGTTTCCCACCAGGAAGTGCAAATCAAACTAACAAGATATCACTTCACATCTACTAGGATGATGGGCCTCAGAAAGATAATAACAAGCGTTTTCGAGAAGGTGGAGAAACTGGAACCTCTGTACACCACAGGTGGGAATGTAAATGCTTTGGAAAAGTCTGGCAATTCCTCAGAAGGTTAAACACAGAGTTACCATAATAACCCAGCAATTCCACTACTAGGTATATGCCCAGGAGACATGAAAACACCAGTTGGCACAAATGTTCCGAGCAGCAGTATTCCCAACAGCCAAAAGGTGTAAACAACCTACATGTCCACCAAACTGAGGAATAACAAAATATGGCACATCTATACAATGGAATGCTGCTCAGCCTTAAAAACAAATCAAGTAATGGGTGGCGTCTGTGGCTCAACAGGTAGGGTGCTGGCCCTATATACCAAGGGTGGAGGGTTTGAACCTGGCCCCAGCCAGCTAAAACAGCAATGAGAATTGCAACAAAAAACAGCCGGGCATTGTGGCAAGCGCCTGTAGTCCCAGCTACTGGGGAAGCTGAGGCAAAAGAATTCCTTAAGCCCAATAGTTGGAGGTTGCTGTGAGCTGTGATAGCACAGCACTCTACTGAGGGCAACAAAGTGAAACTCTGTCTCAAAAACAAAACAAAACAATCAAGTACTGATATACCCTACAATGTGGATGAACCTTGAAAATATCCTAAGAAATCAAACACAAAGGATCACATATTAAATTCTATGTATACTAAATATCTAGAATAAGCAAATTTAGACACAGAAAGTAAATTAAAGGTTGCCAGGGGCTACAGGAAGGGAAGAATGGGGAGTGACTGCCAGCAGGCAGGGTTTCTTTTGGGGATGATGAAATGCTCTGAAATTGCACAGTGGTAATGAAATGCACAACCTTGTGAATACACTGAAAACTACCAAATTATACACGTGGAGACAGGGTTTTGTAGGCGGGAGTATGGGAATGCAATCATAGCTAAGTGCAGCCTTGAACTCCTAGGCTCAAGCAATCTGCCTGCCTCAACTTCCCAAACATGTGCACACCACATCTGGCCTACTTTTTATGATTCTTTTGTAAAGATGAAGTCTCATTATGTGCCCAGGCCATCACTGGCAAGAACATAGCTCACTACAGCCTTAATCTCCTGCGCTCAAGCAATCCTTCCACCTCAGCCTCCCAAGTAGCTAGGACTACAGGGATGGCCCACCATGCTTGGTTAATTTTTAAATTTTCTTGTAGATATGAAGCCTCACTAATGTTACTCAGGCTGGTCTTGAACTCCTGGCCTCAAGTGCTCCTCCCACCTTAATTTCCCAGCATGCTAGAAATATAAGCATGAGCCACCATGCCCAGCCTGAAATTTTTTAAATTTTACTATAAAATTTTTTTAAATTTTACTAGCTAATTGTATAATTCACAGCAAGTGAATTATATCTTTTTTTTTTTTTTTT